ACCCTGCCACTATGGCAGATAAGAAGACGAGTATGAACCTCAGCGGACACATTCTTTCTTGCCTTTGTTCTTGTTTTCTTGAATTTACACACCAACACTAGTTGCCCTTGCCAGAGTGAGGTAGAGAGAGATGTGATTGTGATTGTGGCTTACGGATATTTAAAGGGCAGTATGTCTTCTCCTAATGCAAACTGGATTGGGAAATCGAATTAATAGAGGTTTTGGGGTTACCGAGTGTTGGACGGATTTGTTTCAACAACGTTTGACGCGTTTAGAGAATAACGTAAGCCAAGCAACGTAAAGAATCGTAAGGGGCCAACTGCCGCCATTTTTTTGGGCTTCAATAAAAATGCTTTCGTAGCGAGTAAGTATGTAAATGATAGTGGCTTTAACAAGAACCGACCTTAGCTCAGTTGGTAGAGCGGAGGACTGTAGTTGGTAAAAGCCTGGCAGGCATCCTTAGGTCGCTGGTTCGAATCCGGCAGGTCGGAAACTTTTTTTTTCCAATTTTTTTCTATTTTATACATTTTTTATATTTTTGTTTCAAATATTTTAGAAAAAGTTTAAATAGCAATATCCATGGTTTAGTTGCTTATTCTTTTTTTAACACCAATCATCAACTCATTCACTTTGGTTGGTTATATATTAACCACCATTAAAAAATATATTGGTTGCTAAGTTGAATATTGATTGCCAAGTTGGAAATCCAATTGAGCTATATGACTCTAACAAAACCTACATCTAGTACTCCTAATTCAAGGCTTCTTCTTATCCGAACACACAAAGTATCCATAGTAAAAATCTCATTATATCCTTGTAAATACATCAAAATGAGAAAGGATGAAATCTAAGATTATAAACAAACAACAAACTCCACTACATTACTTCTACATAATAGTCAGTTGTGGATTTTATTCTCCGTAAATAATTTGCAGTGGTGGTGTCTCTTCTGCCAAATTTGTGTACATCAGCCCACCCAGATGATTAGAACATAACATAAGAGATTATGAACCCAAGAAGTAAATTATAGGAATTTGAGGAGATCGTTGGCTTACTACTAATGTTTTGTAAGATGAGGCGTTGATGCAATGCGTTTTAGTTACACTATGCGAGGATTTGACCTTAATGGGTCGGGTATGAAGGATAAAAAACAGGTATGTGGAATTTTTTGTGTATGGTGTCGGGAAGTGGCGGGGATGGTATTTTAATTATCGACTCAAACCTTCCCTGTTTAGAATATATATATATGATATTAAAGTGATTGTACCCACTAAATTTTATATTTTCTATTATTATACTATATATTTATATAATTTATACAAATCTTAAGCCAAAACACTTATATATTTAGTTAAGTTCTAGTCAATATGTAAACATTCTTATATTGTCTTATACAGATATATTATATATATTCATTATCTTGCCCTAATTCTATTTATTTTTTCTTTCAATAAAGTAATTTTATATTGGTTTTTTCTTCGGTAATGGGGCAGATAGGGGAACCCATTCCTCAACGAAGGTGGGGATGGGGAATCCCCGATATGAATATTGCAGAGATGAAGGCGGAGATGGGGGAAAAAAGCTTAACGGGGATGGGGATGTGAATGACATACTCACCCCCAATTTGACTCATTGTCATCCCTAGGTGTGTATATAGATGTACTGGGGTTAAGTATTAAGTTGGATGACTTTTTTTGTCTTTTTTACACAATAATAAAACTTAAGAGCTTAATAATTTAAGTATTAGTGAAGAAAAAAAAAGTGTAGAGTTTAAATAGAAAAACTCTAAATTAATTTGCAATGTGATTTTGCATTTGGATTGCAATCTAGAGAAGGGTAAAATTGTGGCACTTGTTTGTTGCTCAAGGTCTGGTAAGCTTCCTTAATGAACAGAGAATATTGAGAGCCTGAATCAATGACAATCCCATAGTCCCCCTCGGGCATAAACAATTTTGGATCTATTGTTAATTTCATTCGGCATATCTTTCGTATAGTGGCCAATGCTCTTGCTTCTCATGGACATCATCTTCCTCATCTTTGTGTTTAGTTTAAGGGAGTTTCACTAAAATATCCAAAATGAGGGCTGAAATTATAAAAATACCCAACACCCAAAACACTTTATAAACATACCCAAAACTCATCATTACACACATTCAAAACTCATCATTACACACACTCAAAACCCATTTATAAACATACCCAAAACCCATCATCACACACATACCAAAAACCCATTTTGGGTATGTTTCTATGTTTAAATAGTGCTTGGGTATTTTTATAAATACATGTCTAGGATTGGGTATTTTTATAAATATCTATTAGTTTAATCATGTTCTCATTGTGTTTGCTATTCGGATGTTGTGTGATAATCGTTCTCTTGGATTCTTAGATAATCCTCTTTCAAATTTGATACCAACATCAAGACGTGTAGAGATAGTTCCAAGTAAAATACTATTAAGATGGCCATTGGAACCAGAGTTTCGGTAATTTATGGAACATGAGAGGTATCAACTGTCAGCCAAAATGTACGAGCATATAACATAGGAACAGTTGAGAGTTTCAACCATACGGGCAGTAGCCTAACAGGACAGCGGAGTAGGATGGATGGAACTAGAAACATGAGGTTCTAGGATCTGCTTCACAACATATGAGACCAAGCAGAGCCCTGCAACATGCATTATCCTTTTCGACCAAGTAGTCAACAGAAAGGCACCCAAAAAGACTGCATCATCGATGGCCATCTTACCTCCACCTCAGCATGTTTCAGATTCTTAACACCATTTTACCATTCTCAGTAAAATACAAAAATATGAAGAGAAAAGATTAATCTGGATTAATTAGTTGCGTTGTTTACTTCTCTAAACAGGTTCCCTTAGTATGTTACAAGACACCCATTCACAGTTTGACAAAGAGGGAGGAGGGAAGGGCAAAGCAACCATTGTGCAAAATTTAGAAATCTCCATAGAAGAAGAAACACCCCCTTCTGCCTTCCCACCCTTTCTCCAAAGAAACAAAAGAAACTAGTTGAATCGGAATAGTGACACGTAGCCGTTACCTGATCATAAATGCATGCATGTCCCGGGTATTCCTATCCAACGCTAATGTAAGTAAACATCAATCTCCCTTATAAAGAAGAGCAGGAAGATACAATGTGTCCAGTATTCTAAACTCTCCACCCAAAAGAGGCTATTTGCCACTCACTAGTACAGGAGGTCTGTTCTTTTCTTGGTTTTTTTTTTTGAAGTACCTCATAATCTTTCTCATTTTTTCTGTTTTCAATTAAATCACCAAAGCGACTGTACATCTGGGGTGGGATATAGTCCCCTGATATGAGGCCTCAACACAGATGGCTTTCCAACACCTTCCCCTGTGCCCTGCACTGCTGCGCATTCATCCCATTCCTTTCTGTCAACAAATACAAAAGCCAAACAAGAATTAGATCACCATCATCCAAGTTGCACTCGAAACCATTTTCAAACAATCAATCTATTTAACATTAAACACCACAAAAAAATCCAAACAAATCACAGAACCCCATGACTCGGTTATAAGCTTGCACCAATCTACTAGGAGTGCAACCATTCAAAAGAATAAATGCTTATACTGGCCAACGAATATTTTGGGGTAACCACAGACAACTTTAATTGAGTTACATCTTTAGGCTTTGGCCTATGGTATCCATGAAAACCCCTTACCACCTTCAGCCCATGACATGGTAAAACTCAAATTCATCCCATGAGAAGTTGGAAAATACTGAAAACAAAGATACAAGCCATTTAAACAATAAATTACTTCCACAACAACCATCTATCAACTACAACATCAAGCTATACACCGTTCACAGCCAAACCCTTATTTAGCACATTAGGACCCCGACGTCCATCCAAGTGTTATACTGGATTATGCTGCATTAAGGGGTATAGGCTCTGGTCGGGTTCTTGTCTCGGATGGGCTGCCTTGTCCTCCTAGTTTGTCCTCTAAATGATTTTTGTGGCTGGGATGAGAATATCTGTATCTAAACTTGGTTGAGTTTAGTTTCTTCTATCCTGATGTAGGTCGTCTTATTTTGCAAGCCTCGGCTTGATGCTTCGTATCCTGTTCTTGTTGTTTTGATGAAGTGATTTCGACCAAAAAAAAGGGGGTGTACGCCTTTTTTTCCATTTGCCCTTCCTGATTCACTATTTGTTTCTAGTTGACATTCTTTGCTTCAGGCAAGAACAAATATTCCTAACCTCTACACCTCACCATTTTACAAGGTAACAGCAAAGCCACCATAAATAATCTACAAAAGCTTTATGAATGACATAACGAGCAACTTTTAGAAACCAGCAGTTACAAATACAGAGGATGAGTATGATGCACTTACTTGGACCAACAATTTGCTGGAGACATCTCAAATGGATGGTTGGTGGTAGATCTTCTGGGACTCCCAAAAATCAGATCATTCTTAGTAGTTTCGTCTGGAGGTTTGAGAGGATAATGGTTTTCAGCAGTTGACAATGGTGGAAAAAACGCTTTCTGTGACCAAGGATCATGATCACTGGAACCAGTAACAGGGCTAAAAGCTCCGCCATTCTGGCCATTACCAAGAAAGATGCTCCGAGACTGAGGAGAATGAGAGCCAGAAATACCCTGATCTTCTGTTGCAAAAAGTGACACCATTGGTTTCTGGGACGAAGGGTGCATAAGATCATCCTTGTTAGATCTGTTCAGTTCTGGAGGTAGAAGCCAGCTCGGTGGGCCACCTGCAAAACCTAGACCTTCCTGACCAAGAGGACAACTGTTCCACATTTGCCATGTTCCCTTATCATTTGCATTTGCATCATCTAGGGGTAAAGCATGCATATCCTGAGCCTTTGGGGTACTTGGGAAGCGATTGGAATTATTATGCTTTTCTCGTGACATCGGTGACTCAATAGGAGATGGCTTGTTGACTTCAGAAGAAGCAGATCCATTCTTCAATGTGCGAGGCCTCTCCAATCCCATATCTTTCACAAAGCCAGCACCCATGTCCAATTGAAAATTATCAAGTGACTCAGAAACGGGCCCAAGCAAGGATACTGGATCGGGAACGTAACATGGGTCTTCAAAAAGCTCTGGCTCCTCAGGTATAAGTTCATGATGCCCTTCTCCAATGCGAGGGAACATGGGTTCAATTGCAGGGGAAAAACCTAAACTGGTAGAGGATTCTTTTGGATAGGTAGTAGATAGAGTGAATGGTGATGGCAGCCCAAAATTGATTGGATTATCAAATGATTGCATTGACAAGGACTGACCAGATAATTGAGGAACTTCTGTTTGGAACTTTGAATTTGGCCTACTTATTACATTTGCACTTGAGGATGAAGGCACAGACGAAGACCGAGTAAACAATTGCTGCCATGATTTTTTAGGTGCAGTCCCTGGCTGTGGTTCTGAGTTAACCTGCATTCAATGGATCACATTATAACATGTATTTACTTCACCTACACGGTGTTATAGTATGCATCATAATCATTAATGAGGCAACGAAACTTGAAACTAATGTTTCACTCTGTAGCTTATTGGCTTGAAAGTTCCAACAGCGCAAGTGTAGGAATAAGATTGCCTAGTAAAGGAAGCAGAAATTGAGCCTCAATCTGTGTAAGTTGTAGAACTGTTGAAGTTCATATAATCACATTGGTAAATGCTCAGAAAGTCAAGGCTAACCTTTTAGATACATGGCATAATCAACAAACTCAAGTGCATCATCAATATCTATAATTTCAATGAAAACTATAATTATCTATAACTTCCATGAGATATAATTATCTATATTTTCCATGAAAATTATAATTGCATAATCCCTACCTTAGAACTTAGGTAGGGTACTGAATAACATATTTAAGCAGTGAGATGAAAAGGTATATAAAAATGAGGTATAAAGCAAGAAACTTACAGGGCGGTGGATACTCTTATCATCTCCATTCATAAGAGGTCTCGCAGCTACACGGTCAGGTGGACATAAATCCCTCTTATGGGCATGACTATGGACATGATCTACAGAAATGCTAGATTTGGTTTCATTTGTCACTGTAGTATTAGCACCCTTTCCAAAGAAACTACCTCCGCTAAATGCCTTTGAAGAATTAAAAATTGTACCCCTCATACGGTCCAGGTACCTGGATCCAGCATTTCCCCTATCAAAATTGGTTGCAGATGCATATTTTATACTATGGGCCGTCTCTGTGCTTTGTCCCTTCAGAAAATCTACCCCGGATTTCAGATGTTCCCGGCGATCAATGTCACTCTTCTTGTCAAAGTCCCGATTCCGTTCACTTTCCTTACCTGCTCTCTTTTCCAGCTCTTCTACATCAGAATTGCTCTTGCTAGAACCCTTGTCTTTCTCTTTCCTTCTTTCCTGCCGTTTCTTTTCTGCTTCCTTCTTGTTATCTTTCTCCCTCGCAGGTGGTGATGTTTTCCCACGATCTCTTTCTGCTTCCTTTTTCTCATCCCTAAGTCTCCTACGTTCCTCCACCAACCTTGCAACTTCCTCCCTCTGCTTTCTCTCTTCCTCCTCTAAAAGCTCCTTCTCTATCCTAGCCTGTCTCTTCTCTTCAGCTTTTCTGCGAGCTTTTTCTCCTCTACTCTCATTCAAGTTGGTCCCATTTTCGCCCCTCTTGGCCAACATACCTTTATGCTCATCAGATGCATCATCTTCCCCTGATGCACTAATCCTAAAAACCTTTCTCCAAAGCCATCGAACACTCAAGAAAAAAGACGTCAGTAGCTTGCATGCAAAAATAACAACACCTGAATAAGACTTCTCAGCCAAACAATTCTCATCCCCTCCAAAAACACTGCTCCCGTCCTTCCTCCAATAGCCAGACTTCCCTGCAATAGAACCACTGACCCAATTGCCATTCTCCAACCAATCTTGGCCACACATCCACCCATTTTCAGACCACACCTTACCATTCAATATTTTTCCACCTTTTCCAACTAATTCCTTGATAATCCCGGAATTCGAAAGTCCCATCCCCGGTAGCACAGGTAAGTCAAGAACCGGTCTTTTTGATATATGTCCACAATACGAACACATAAATCGACCACCACCAGGATTCTGATCCCTATACGGAGTCAAGCAGTTCCGACACCGCCTGGTTGCTGTTTTCCTCAGCTTTTGCAATTCTATTGCCTCAAACCTCTTCCTCTCCCTAAGCCTTGCATTCCTCCGCCCCCGCCAAGCCGAAAGCTGAGGCATCAAAATCTCATACCAGAAGAGAGTAACCAATAGCACAAAAACACAAGCGAGTCTGGGCGAAGTTATCTCAAATCGAAAAGCTGGTGGTAGAAGCTGAGAGAGAGCCCATAGTCCTATTAATGGAATAACTAACCAAGGAAGCATTGTAGCGACCCGGCGAGACCACTTCTGAATCACACAAAGTATACACATTATCCTCTAGCATACGCCTATCTTCCCCGTCTCGAATTCGAACAATTAAAACCCTAGGAATCACACAGAAAACTTCCCAAGCAATGCTCCCAATCGGAAACCGTAGCCCTAATATGCCGCTAAAATCGAATAGCAAGAACCAATTTTCTTAGCGTCCCAAGAACCCTAACAGCACTAAAATCTCGAACCCCTTCAACAAATGCAAAAACAGGGAAAAAGATAATCCGCCATTAATGGTTGAACAACCGCAGGAGCACCAAAAAAGCTCGAAAAATGAATCAATTTTAGGGTTTTAAAGACTCTGAGCTGCACGTCAATCAAATGGGTTGAGCGATTCGGATACTTACAGATTCGAAGTTCATGTCGACGATAAGTTATCGGAATGAGGGCCCAATTTTCGAAGCTTAATTGGAGCCGCCGCTTTGAAGGTCCGGATTTGGATTCGGGTCGCACCGGCCGTGAAGCTCGTTTTATCGTTTTCGTTGGTAACAGCGAAAAGAAACTACGATGAGGGAGAAGGAGAAAAAGATAAGAGAGATGGAGAAGAAAATGTGAGAATGTAAGGAAAACAAATTATATAAGCAAGCACTGGACCGCCCGGTTGGGCCGGTTTTTTAAGGAGTGAGGCGTACCGTGTTTGAAATGGTCGGTTTGGTAAAGGACTCTGAGTCTGCGGTAAGCGAATGGAGGGCTGTAAGGTGTCAATAGGAATATGAATTTCTTAAGAGGATTCATAATGCCTAATCCAAATCATTATCTCTAGCTAAATGGCTTGAAAGCAATTAAAAATTGGAGCTTTAAATAAGCAAAATTAAGAGGAATATTAGTAGGGGCACTTTTTACATGCCAAATTAACTACCTTCGTTCAAGTCAAAAATTTGCATTGCATAATCCACATATGTTTGCCAAAGGGATGCAGAATAATCAAAGCACAGTGGATGGTCCCTCCCTAGTCACACCAAGGAGCTCAGATTTTGACTAAAATGTGGAATTATGGCAGTTTTTAAGGATAAAGCAAAACTCTTGGGGCACATATTAACGATCATCTTAGCGCGAGTTTATGGTAATATTGTGCTTTAAAATATAAACTAATTGTTTGCTTAAGAATTTTCCAGCTTCATGATCATAATTTTCTATTGAATCACGCATATTAAAAGATATTATTTATTTTCCTTTTTAGTGATAATTATTTTAAAGTTCATGCGAATAATAAATTTGTTGTTAAGTATTTATAGAAAGAGTGTTGGTCGCCGCCACATAACCTCTTTATGAGGCGTGATTCCTTAAACTTACCGTTTAGCGAAAAGAAAGGCAAGTAAGCAACAAGTCATAGTTAATCAACTATGAGAGATAATATATATATATATATGGGGGCATGATCTCAAACTTTAATAATATTTAACAAGAAATATATTGGTTTTAAGTTTTGATTATTCTTGTCCCAGTGCCTAATTATCTTCTTCTATATTGGCATCTCCTGAATAATATATATATATATATATATATGGGGGCATGATCTCAAACGTTAATAATATTTAACAAGAAATATATTGGTTTTAAGTTTTGATTACTCTTCTCCTAGTGCCTAATTATCTTCTTCTATATTGGCATCTCCTGAATTAAACAAAAGGAGAAGGTATAGTTAATCAAATCGTGCAACTCAACTTGTAACTTGTTCGTTAATATAATATCAAATTAAAACCCACTACACCCAAACCAAGAACAAGAAAAATCCCAATATAGATTTTAGATACTATAAGCTGCCTAAGCCGGCCAATACAGTCTGAAAAAGGTTCAGCCATGCTTTGAAACAAGCAAGCCAACCCGACCCGATGGTGAAAATGAATTGGTCAAGGTCTGTCCAGAGACTAATTTATTTTCTTTGACCAAGCTCAATGTCCTTGTTATGTACGTTGATTTTGAAAATGTTTCCTTCTTTTCTTGAGGTCAACTATTCAAAGAATATTCTAGATACAAGAAAGCTCTTCTTTGCCTTGTGGGCTTGTCCAACCCTAAGGCTAGCCCATGTTTTTTTGCATTCATGGGCTTATACTTTTAAGCCTTTTAAATATGGGTCATAGTCCTTCTGGATTGCAAATGAATTGGGTTTCAGCCTGCAAGTCCATAAACCACATTGGTAAAGCTCTGATGAGAGATTAGGGCTAGCTAAATGTAATTAAGACTGGCAAAGTGCAAGGTCTTATAGTCTTTAGACTCTAATCACAAAAAGATCTCATGTGCGTAATTCAACTTACACAAAAATATTAGCATGGCAAGATTTAATCAAAATGGTTTATCCACCACCAATCTCCTTACGTCACGTGTAGGGGCCGGTCCTAAACTAAAATATAAAAAATCCGAAACAATGCCTAACCCTAAAAATTCGAGGTTAACAGTCTGACAAAGGAGTTGAGAATTTTGTAACTGTTGAAGCTTACACTTGTTCTAGTTTCTTAGATTAATTTTGTAACTGTTGTTTTGATCAATTATTTTGATTGTATAATTAAATGACTGAAATTGAAGCTTGCCCTACCTAATGTTGCGTGCACTATAACTTTTGTCCCACACCATATATCTTTTTTATCTTAGAAGCTCAACAACGTTATGACTTATGCGTGAGAGAAAAAAGAGTCGTAAGAGAGAGAGAGAGAGAGAGAGAGAGAGAGAGAGAGAGAGAGAGAGAGAGAGTGTACATAACTTGCGAAGCGTGGGAGCATTGTGTTGGTCTTCCCCCTTGGAAAGGTATCAACAACAATTGCCAACTAATTAAGCCAATATAGAACATGATTATTCTGGGTTTTGGGGCATTGTCCATAAAAGGAGTCACATTATTGCGGGGAAGGGGGCGGGGGTAGTGTAAGTTTTGGAATTATGGAGGTGTACATATGGTATGGTTCGGTATTTTATTTCGAGTCTTGACTTGACCCTAGCCAAAATTAATTCTTTAAAAAAAAAAAAAAAAAATGAGAACAATACAAACCTGCACTTATCTGCATTTGTTAATCATGGATTTTTTTTTTTAAGTGGGATTAATCATAGAATTGGGATTTGATTTATTTTAATAGATATTAATTAACAATATATTAATTAACAATTGGGATTAATCATAGAAATGAGCATGGTTATAAATGAAAATTGACTTTAAAATCATCAATTTATAGATAATATATTAGAGCTTATTGTTGCATAATTAGGGGCCTTGTCCACCAGAGGAATCTCATATTGCGTAAGGGATTGTATATCTTAAATAATTAGACAAATCAGAAACCATTTCGACATCTAATTGTGATCTACAAAATCAATGAATACAGTGCTTCAAGAAAGTATTAAAATTTCAATAATTCAATTAAGTGATCAAATGATATTTGATTCAAGTAATTTTTTGTCCATATGATCTTTGAATGAATATCTGGAAAATAGACAGTTTAAATTAGTGAAACAATGATGTCCTTCAAATAAGCTTATTTGAAGGATCTCCCAATTGAAACGCGGTCTATATAGATGATATGACCACATATTAATACTGTGGTCCTGCATTTGTCTTGACTGACCCCAGCCAAAGTTATTTATTTTTCTCTGTTGCTTTTGATTGAGGACAATACAAACCTGTCCTTATCATGAATTTATTAATCATGTGGATTTGGGATTTTGTTTGCTTTTTTGATATGTTGAAATTAAAACTCATTAATTTTTAATAACACTAAAAACATAAACAATATATACATTTAGTCAATACATAAAAATAAACAAATAGAATACCTTAAACTGTATTAAATAGGTATATTGTATCAGCAACTCCGAGTCAATACAGAGATGACTATTATTTATGTGATATTTACGTAATACTGATGCTTGAAGGGCAATTATACTCAATCATGCAAATGCATAATTGCATGGTGGACCATTTGCTATAATAAAAGTATAAATTAACAATTTCAACTCATGATGCTGGATTATCCTTCTTCACTCTTCACTACCCCATGTTGTTGCAACTTGCAACTCCACGCCTCCATTTGGATTTGAAAGTCACCAAAAAAACACACATAAAGGTTCACACCTTTTAAATTCTATCCTTTGCAATAAACAAGGCTACCCGGAAAAAAGAAAAAAAAAACCCTAAGTACTATAAGTAATATAAGCTTAGAGATTCGTGTGTGGTGTGGTGTGAAATAGACTGGATTGGGTTGGATTTTAAACCCTAACCCCAAATTATAAACGTTAGGTCTTAATTTGATTGATTTCTCAAGTTTGAATTTCACGTGTTTGTGTAGCTAGAGTAGGTATAAGAATTGGAATAGGAAGCTTCCCATGAATTAATGAGATTTGAGTCTTGAGAAGAAAAGTGAAGCTATGTATCATGTATCCACACAATCCCACATCACATTGATGTTTAATTTAATGAGATGACATGTTATACATGAATGCCCACGTATTGCCTTTTGGGTTGCCGATGGGACTCTCGTGGATATTGGTAGGGAAAAGGGATAGATTGATGGATGATATTCAATTTATGAGGAAAAGAGATAGACTTTCACGCAACAACTATCTGATTTTCTTTACGTTCATCAACCAAATGAACTTAGATTATAAATTTGTAGAAAAACTCGTTGAATCTTCTTAATATATAATCTGCCCAAAAAGGAAAGATAATCTGGCCTGTCCCACTACTTAATATATATAGTATCTTCCAAATTAAACTAACCAGATAATTTTGACATATGAGTTAATGTACTTAACCATTGTAGGAAAAGATAAAAAAGTAAAGTTTAGCTCTAATACAACATTTTTCTGTCCTTATCTTTTTCGCCTTTTTATGATACTCCGTACCACCGACCATTGGATTGAGTTGGGAACTGAGTGCGCCAGTCTGCCACAGAATAGTACAAGAACATATAATATAACCTTTGCATCCTAAATTTTAATCACTTTATTTATTTAAACAAAAAATACATAAAGAAAATCATATATACACAACAATATGAGTGAGGAACATTTTTTTTTTCCTTGGGTTAAGAATATGTAGGACTTTTTTTCTTCCTTTTTTTCCTTATTTTTTTGTTGGGTCAAGAAGATGAGGAACTTCCCTATGTCTCTTTTGAGACTTGAAATTCCGGGAAAAAACAAATTACAAAAGAACCCGGACACTGGCATTTTACTGTTCCCTTATTTTTCTCCGACAATGTATCATCCAATTATAATGTACCTCAAATATTATATTATGGACGCACGCCCCATATTCCCGAGCTTGTTCTCTTCTGGGTGCTTTTAATTACCGGCGACGTCCTCTTCCGGTCGGTATATCAAACAGCTGAGCTGCGGCCTCAGCTTATCTTTCCATATTCGCTGGCTACATTCACTTTCTCTTTGCCTCAAATTCAACTCAACCACCACCAGCTTTTCCGTTAGCCGGTAAATCCCAATCATCACCACGAAATTACCATTCTCGCCCGCCAATTTCGCACCCCAACTCTTTTTTTCCATGACCGCCACGTTCTCCGCCTTCGCTATCTCCTCCACTTTCTCGATTATCGTCTCCGGCGTCTCCGCCGATACGAACCGCTCCCCG